GAGAAAAGAGTTTCAGGTATAACCGCCCAAAAAACAGTGAAAATGATTTGAAAATTAAATCGTATGTTAAACCTGTAAGGCACCTTGTTACCGGGACAGAAAGTTAGAAGGTTAGAGCGGGCGAAGATCATCTTGAATAAATTGGAAAATGACCCTGGAGAAAATATATATATATATATATATATATATATATGAACTTTATTTCAATCCTTAATGAGCTTCCACTCCTTAGCTCTGATTAATTAATGATGAACATGTCATTTTCGTTTATGATCGATTCTATCAAGATGCTTCTGTTAAACTTGGAGAATAATCCTTATAATTATACATTCTTATTGCTCAAAGAATACTGTAATAGTTTTATAAAATCCTCGGAGAATTTCAGTAAGATATCTTTAATCATTTCTAAGATACACCGCTTATCATATATGAAAACGTATGCTCACTTAGGAACACCTATGTTGATATCCAGGCGCGCTATAAGACACTTGGCACTCCTTTTAGACTTCTCTCGAGGAGAAAGGTAATTTTGATGTAAATCCCGTGACATCGTTTACAAACGTATACGATATTAAGGGAGCGGATTTGACTGTCCCCTCATTAAAAAAGTCAATTCAAAAGTAGACTTACGAAAATTTACAATTCGCGCTGTCCGGTGGCTGTCTGGGTGAACCACGCGGTTGCTGTGTAGATTTACCCCGTAGTAGCAGTCTTGACCGACCACTGGGAGGTTGTCTAGATAGACCAAGCAGTGGCTGTTGGGATGGACGATGCAGGGGCTGTCTGGATGGACCACGCAGTGACTATCCGGATGGACCACGCGGTGGGTGACTGGATGGACCACGCGGTGGGTGTCTAGATGGACCATGCAGTAGCTGTCTGGATGGACCATGCTGTTTCGGTCTCGATGGACCCCTTGATAGCTGTCCGAGTGGATTATGCAGTTGCTGTTTGGATGGACCACGCGGTGGCTCTCTGGATTGACTGCGCAGTGGCTGTCAGAATGGACCACGCGGTGGGTGTCTGGATGGACCACGCAGTGGCTGTCTGAATGGACCACACTGTGGGTGTCTGGATAGACCACGCAGTGGCTGTCTGAATGTACCACGTAATAGCTGTCTGGATGGACCATGCAGTGGCTGTCTGAATGTACTACGTAATAGCTGTCTGGATGGACCATGCAGTGGCTGTCTGGATGGACGGACCACGCGGTGGCTGTCTGAATGGACCATGCAATGGCTGTCTGATTGAACCACGCAGTGGGTGTCTGGATGGACCATGCAGTGGCTGTCTGGATGGACCGCGCTGTTTCGGTCTCGATGGACCCCTTGATAGCTGTCCGGGTGGATTATGCAGTTGCTGTCTGGATGGACCACACGGTGGCTCTCTGGATTGACTACGCAGTGGCTGTCTGAATGGACCACGCGGTGGGTGTCTGGATGGACCACGCAGTGGCTGTCTGAATGGACCACACTGTGGGTGTCTGGATGGACCACGCAGTGGCTGTCTGAATGTACCACGTAGTAGCTGTCTGGATGGACCATGCAGTGGCTGTCTGAATGAACCACGCAGTGGGTGTCTGGATGGACCATGCAGTGGCTGTCTGGATGGACCACGCTGTTTCGGTCTCGATGGACCTCTTGATAGCTGTCCGGGTGGATTATGCAGTTGCTGTCTGGATGGACCACGCGGTGGCTGTCCGGATGGTACACGCGGTGGCTGTCTGGATGGTACACGCAGTGGCTATCCGAATAGACCACGCAATGGCTGTCCGGATGGACTCCGCGGTGACTGTCAGGATGGTACACGCGGTGGCTGTCTGGATGGTACACGCGGTGGCTATTTGGATAGACCACGCGGTGGCTGTCCGAATGGATCACGCAGTGGCTGTCTGAATGGACCACGCGGTGGGTGTCTGGATGGACCATGCAGTGGCAGTCTGCATGGACCACGTGGTTGCTGTCCGGATGGACCATGCAGTTTCGGTCTAGATGGACCCCTCGGTTGCTGTCCGGATGGATCATGCAGTTACCCTCTGGATGGACCACGCGGTGGCTGTCCGGATGGAACACAGGGTGGATGTCCGTTTGGACCACGCGGTGGCTATCCGAATAGACCATGCAATGGCTGTCCGGGTGGACCACGCGTTTGCTGCCCGGATAGACCACGCAGTGGCGGTGCTCGAAAATCGTGTTGTAGCTATCATCATGTAAGTATGCATGTATGTATGACATCGGCTATATTCTTACGGAACGCGGGCAACATAACGGAAGCATATTGTCTTTAACGTCAAATAACAGTCTGCGATTAATAACCAGATACGATGGGAAGGACAAATTGTGAGGATGGGCATAGCAGGATTCACAAACAACGAACTCAAGTCAGAAAAGCGTACGCAGCAAAAGCCGAGGAAGTGGTTCAATGATAATTAGAAGGATAATTCGAATGCATTGCACATGGATGTGCTGTATTCGGAAGAAGTGACTTTATATCGTACAAAGTGGGGCACTTTATTAGGGACGGATGCCATATCTTTATGGAAGAATGCCTCGGCGATCATCTGTAACCTGATGTGCGAAGAGATACTCACAACGAATATGCGAAATATTGGAAATGTTGTGTTTGTGAGCACCTGCTGTGGTCAAGGTCAGATGATGTAAATCGTCTGAAAGGTTCTGCAACAACCAGAAGAAAGCCAATATGCCAACCTGGCACTTCGTACATACTGCGGCCCGTACATATATATATATATATATATATATATATGTGTGTGTGTGTGTGTGTGTGTGTGTGTGTGTATGGGCTTTTCAGCCCTCTCATTTTTCTTTAAATATATCTATCTACCTACCTATCTATCTATATGATGGCCTTTTTCAATTTACCTCATATCTATCTATCTATCTATCTATTTCTTTTTTTAATCTACTTATCTCCCTATATATCTCTCTATTTATCTATCGATCTGCCAGTCTGTCCGTATCTATCTATCTATCTATCTATCTATCTATTTCTTTCAGTCTACTCATATCTATCTATCTATCTATCTATCTATCTATCTATCTATCTTCGGGCAGAGAACGTCTCAGTTGTGGCTACAAACAGAGACACAGCTTAGGGAAATAAAAAAAAACTGTGAGGTACCCAGTCCCGAAGAACAGCTGCACGAGGCTGCACCTTTCACGACACTCTAGAGTGGGCATCGGCAGTCTTACCAATGACAACGCCAACGACGATTGCTTGCCCTGATCATTTTTTGTCCTTTGACCAAATGTACGTGCCCGGTTTCGAACCCGATATTGCATCACATCTCGTCTCAGCGAAGAGTCTGAGGTTAGACAAAACACTTGGAGAATTGAATTACACATAACTGAAACAGAAACTGAGATATCCGAAAGAGACGTGGCATGTGGAGCTAGAGCAATCTACCCAGGTTGACGAAATAAAGGATTCGGTTCGAAATCCCAATCACCTGAAGAAGGTCGGAACAATGTAAATAGTGTAAATAGCAATAACAACTCATCTTAGAAATATAGAATGATCCTGTATAAGGTCGGCACGACCAACCCGATCCCGTTTATACGGGTTCTACGGGCATTTTTGGGCCGAGCCTACGGGCTCGGGAAACCCACGTTAAACTCGGCCTTGTGCCACATGCAACCCTCGTGGGAGGGTGGCTAGATACCTAATCAAGCCGAGCTTCTCGGCTTGACGGTCGAACTCTCTGCCTCTGAGCAGAGAGGAACCCGGACGAGCCTCCGCCGAAGGGCAGAGTCTCGTTCGGGGAGGTTGACCAACCCGATCCCGTTTATACGGGTTCTACGGGCATTTTTTGGCCGAGAAACCCACGTTAAACTCGGCCTTGTGCCACATGCAACCCTCGTGGTGGGGGATGGCTACATACCGAATCGAGTCGAGCCGATAGTAGTTCACTCCAAACCAGACTGACAGTCATACTAACACCTTCCACATCTTGTATTATTATTTCGTGTAATATACCTTCGTTATTTCTAGTCTTGTGGTTCGTGTTGTTCTTCCTTGGTCCTAACCTGGACCGTAACGGTAAGATAATTTTTGACCAAAAAATTCTAGTATTATAAAAAAAAAAAAAGAGATGTTTCGATGTCTGACACACTGACTGCCTGTAACTTTTCATGCACGTTTGCAAAGTAAATGCTTATGTCAGTCGATTGCGAGGAAAAAAAAGGCGCGCTTTTGAGTCGTTTAATCTACACACAGGTACACACGCATGCGCAATTTGACTGAGTTTGAAATAAGACGTTCGGCTGAGAAGCAAAATCATAAATTTGCAGACAAAATGAAAAAAATAAAAACTCCAGACTTTATTGCAGCTTTCGAAAATACTGCAGCAATAAAATGAATAATTTTTCAATTTTTTTTTAAATTGTAGCAATATTTTTTAAGTCTCCCATTGAATAAGAATAGACGCAAGCAAACGTTCAGACATATCAGTTGAATTAAATAGAAATATGAGTCGTGATGGTTAGTTTAACTTTATGTCTCGCAAAGCACCCTAGGGAACAGGCAAAGAGTATAAGCGGGGACATGCGTAATTATGAAGCCATGCTTATGATAGATAGATACGAACAGGCCAAGATAGATAGATAGATAGATAGATAGATACGAACAGACCAAGATAGATAGATAGATAGATAGATAGACAGATAGATACGAACAGACCAAGATAGATAGATAGATAGATAGATAGATAGATAGATAGATACGAACAGACTGACAGATGGATGGATAGATACAGAGACAGATAGGTAGATAAATAGATTTAAATAAAAGAAATGAGACGGCTGAAAAGAGCATATATATATATATATATATATAGAGAGAGAGAGAGATAGATAGATAGATAACAGTGGTATGGTTTTCTGGTACTTTGCAAATGTGCTGCACGCTAGGATCGGTCCAGTTCGATAACATCAGAAGTTTCCGTCTTGACAAATCGACCATGGAGAGATTCGAACCCGGTTCTCATGCTCAGAAAGTGAATGTTGTAACCTCTCGGCTCCGCGCCCATAAAATAGAAAGATATGTACATACATACATACATACATACATACATACATGAACTGAGATAGCTAGATAGATAGATAGATAGATATGAACAGACTGAGATAGATAGATCGATAGATCGATAGATAGATAGATAGATAGATAGATAGATATGAGATAAAGAGAAAAAGTCAGTCAGATAGATAGATAGATAGATAGATAGATACATATGAGGTAAACAGAAAAAGAAAAATAGATAGATAGATAGATAGATATGAGAAAACTGAAACAGACAGAGTGCTAGATATCTATCTAGTTCTCTAGACATATGGGGTCATGTATATGAGTGATTTTGTATTTAAACTGTATAAAAAAAAATCAGATTTTGAAATTTGACCGTTTTGCCCTCATCAAAGCAACATATACGGAATTAGTATATACAGAAGCTACGCTAGGAAAGAGCAAAATCGCTTTTGCTGATTCCGTCTTTAACATTCTTCGCAAGCAATTTTAAAAAAAAATCTTTTGAAATAATGACCAATTCTTTGCGAATAACCTTCACATTTTTACTGCTTCTGATGATTCTTTGATGAAATTCCGTCTTTCAATCTTTGCCATGAAATTTTCGCTTGGATTAAAGACCACACTGTATATAGTTTTTATTGGTTTTCGTATTTTTCCACAATAGAAATTACAAGAGTATAAATTTCGCATTTCCTTCAGGAAAGGCTTTTGATATTAACACAGATTTCTAAAGGGTCAGTAAGTGTATAGCTTTTCCTTTGATCCCGGCAATGTTATGTGTGTTGCAGAGAGATCGATAGATATATACATAGGTAGAAAATGGAATAAAGACGAGAATCTAAGGAGATAGATAGGTAGATAGATAGATAGATTAACACAAAGAAAGAAAGAAACAAAAACGGAGAGATACATACATATATAAATGCATAAGTACTGACTGAGATAGATAGATGGATTTTAAAAGAGTGAGATTGATAGATAGATAGATAGATAGATAGATATGAACAGACTGAGATAGATAAATAGCTATGAACACTGAGATAGATAGGTAGATAGATAGATAGATAGATAGATAGATATGAACAGACTGAAATAGACAGATATAAACAGACTGAGATTGATAGACAGATAGATAAATAGATAGATAGATAGATAGATAGATATGAACACACTGAGACAGATAGGAAGTTATGAAGAGACTGAAATAGATATGAACAGACTGCGAGAGATAGATATGAACAGACTGAGATAGATAAATAGATGTGAACGCACTTAGATAGATAGATAGATAGATAGATATACAGGGTGCGATGGGTAAATTGTCGCTATTTCATAATTTTAATTTCGCGCATGCGCGTTGTTTGTTTTTGATTTCCTCGACCCCCCAAAATAGTTGGGTCAGCTTGAATGGCACCGTCAGTGATAAAATGACGCAATTCCCCCCGCCACAAATTTGGAAACGGCATTTTTTACTGCTTGGCATTCGTGCCGGAAGTTTCAATACGAACATTTCATTGTCTTCGGGTGTCAATCTGAGGGCTGTGCCGAGGATTCTAAAAGAGGTGAATGAGTCTAATGGTGATTACGAAGATATAGCAGCTCGGAAAACTCACTCTGATCAATCTGAGAAGAAAAGAACTCCCGAATTTGTCGGTGAGGGCCTCAGGTTCAATACAGGGGCCTACATAAAGTGCTATAAAGAGGTAACGCAGTGCTGTGTCAAGAGGGTGGCCGCTGGAAGTCTTTATCACTGACAACAAAAATTTATCACACAATCAGGAGAACTAAAACATGGCTGCCAGACAATTTCTGCGACCACATCAACCCTTACATCTAGCCACAACGCCCTAGACTACACCCCCCTAATTTATTATGTGTGTGTGGGGGGAAGTTGAGCGAAAGACCAACAAAACTTCTTTGGACACCAAAGATGAAATGAAGGTAAGGATTATGGCAGCTTTCATCAACTTAAATAAAGTGACGGTATAGAAGAGTCACAGGTGATTCCGAAGTCGTCTGGTGGTCGAGGTTACAGCCAATGGCGAGTTTATTGAATAAATTTACTCTTTACTATTTCAATATATTTTTTGTGTAATTTTGGTAAATATATCTGTTAAAATGAGATGTTACTGTTATTGAGAGATGTCGATGGTTGTGTTACCGTACATACTTTTGCGTAATTACATATATAGATGATGAACAGAATGGTGCAGATAAATACATGAATAGAGATAGGTAGATATGAGTGAGATAGATAGATAGATAGATAGATAGATAGAATGAAAGAAATGAGCAGACTGAAAAATATACCCAGATAGATAGAGAGATTGATACATAGATTGATTTTGAATGAGTGAGATAGATAGATAGATAGATAGATAGATAGATAGATAGATAGATAGATACAAATGAGTATATTGAAACAGTCAGAGAGATAGATAAATATGCGAAGAT